GGGGGGGGGGGTGCAGGGAGAAGATCCACAACTTACTTAAAATGCTATGATTTTTGAAAATCGTTGCATTTATCTGAGTAAGTAATGCAGCATAAACAATGTTAGGTGAACCCAGAGATATAAGTGACAATCTTTAGAGTAACTGTGAAAAGAACAAGGCTGATAATATTGGTTTGGTTCTGTGAGAGAATGAGACCATTTAAATGGTGCTCAGAGCTCATCAAGTCTGCCCCTTTGATACATAAGGAAACTGAAACCCAGGCTTGCCCAAAGCCAGGCAGCTGGTTATTGGCACAGTTGGGTAAAGTGTTGGCCTTTGGATGACTAGTTTTGTCTTTTGTTTATAACATAATTCTGCCTTGCATATAACTGCTTTCTTGTGAGACTAAAACATAAGTCCTTCTGGGTAGCCAATATTCTACAACCTACAGGGAGTCATCAGATGCCTCTGACTTTGGAAGCAATACATTTTCCAGATAAAGAATCAGTTTTTGTTTGGAAGATGATGTTACTTAAATGTAAAAACAGCAGTTTTCACGGGTATGATGGATATACCCAAGCTTTTATCCCCCCCCCCCCCAATCCCCTTTCCTCAGCCAAAGGCTCTCACAATCAGACAGGTAAACACATTTTCATTTGGCTATTAAAGTGCTAATTCCTGGGCAAAGTTTTTCTCAGTTTCACAACAGCAGCTTCATTGGAAACAAGTAAAAATCAAGGTATGAAAACACACCTGGGAAATAACAGAAATAAGGAGCCTAGTGACTACTCTGGAACATTACAAACGACTTAAAGATATCAGCCTGGTACTGGTGGCTGACACCAAAGCCTCTGAGGTAAATGTTCTAGGGGAAAACGGGGACAAAGAAGACTAGACCAGAAAGAGCAATTAGTATTAATATAACACCTACTCCCTTGCAAGGGAGCAGTGAAAGGAGTAAAGACAGAAGAAAGTGCAACAAACCCATATACGTGCATTTGCTATTGCAGCAGACCTCTAATTTTTCAAAAGAAAAGCAATGCCATGTGCGTTGGACAGGGCTCTTGAACTCAGAATTTATCTTACAGGAGTGTACTCTTTGCCGAAAGGGCATCACCAATTAAGGTATTTGGCAGAGAATCGTCTCTAAAACTCGTATCACGTGGACTATATCATCAATCCTGCACCCTGATGTTTCCCACATCCTTTCCTACCGGGGAAGATGCAGTCACGTGAACTGCGCGCAGGTCCTTCCCCTTTACAAGGACATCACTCCTACCTAAGGGGTGAGAGTCTCCTGGTAAGGCTTAGTGGCAAGTGCGTACTACATCTGGACTACCAGGGGCAGCCCCTGATTTTCTGGATATGCATAGCTTTTCAGAGTTGAAATTAGACATGGCTTTCATAAATAATGCAGGTGTTTCTGTCGTGTGCCCCTGCCGGCTCTGCGGTTTCCAGGTGGGCTGGTGGCAGGACTCGATCTGATACCTCGACAGGCGTGGGCTCTTCAGACGTCAGCTCGGTGGACGTCACATCTGTAGAGGGCTCTACAGTTTCTGGGGAACGCTCCGCTGACGGTTCTGTCTCCTCTTCGTCTTTGCCTTCTTCAAACTGTACCCCCTCTTGGTCGCCCACATGATCTTTTTTGGCCTGTGGGTGCACGGACACCTTGATGGCAATCTGCTGAGGCTGTTCGTGCAGGGACGAGGCGTCGGAGTCGGCGGTGGGGGAGTCGCTTCGCTTCAGAGAGTTTCGGATCGTGTACACCTCGTCCTGGTCCGCGGCCTCCTGGCCCTCTGGGGTGTGCTGCACAAAATTCTGCCCCTGTTCCTCCAGCCTCACCACTTCCATGATCTCTTCCATGATGGTCCTGCAGTTCATGATGAGGGGCGGCAGAGGCACGCTCCTGGCCAGCTCTTCAATGTAGCGGGCAAACTCCATGGTTTTGAACTGGGTGACTTTGGCAAGCTCTAGGGTTTTGGCCGAGGTGATGATGGGGATCCGCTTGGCGATCTCGAATGCCTTCTGCAGCTTCTCTGCGCCTTCTGTCCTAAAGAACTCGTTGATGGCCTTCTCGGTCTTCTTCAGGTGGCTGCTCATCATGCACAGGCGGGTGATGTTGAGGACGATGACCACGGTGAAGGCCACGAGGCACACGACCATGTAGTAGACACCCATGTCTCCAGAGGTGAAGATGACTCGCAGGGTCACCGTGTTGTTCACGATGCCATAGGCATTGGAAGCCACACATGTGTATTTCCCTCGGTCTGAAAAAGACACCCTGGTGATGTTCAGGAGGCCGCCCTCGTGCATCTGCCACTTTCCTGTCGGAAGAGAGAGATCATCAATCAAAGAAGGACGTACGGTTCCCACTGACGGGACCGCGAGCTTGCACGTTACTAAAGCCACCAGCTATGAACGACAGCAGCAGTGCACCTTTATGTGTGCCGGGCATCGACAGGCATGAACTACTTTAATCTTCACAGCTCTGTGGGGCAGGTACTGATACTAGCCCCATTTTAGAGGAGGACAAAACCGAGGCACAATTAGATTAGACCACCTTCCCAAGGTCACCCGTTTGGAAGTAGTAGAGCTAGACAATGTACCCAAGTTCAAGAGGCTGTACTCGTAGTTGTTGTTTTTTTTAATTCTCATCTGAGGATATTTTTTTCATTGTTTTTCAGAGAAAGTGGGGGGGAGACATCGATGTGAGAGAGACACATCGATTGGTTGCCTCCCACACGCGCCCTGACCAGGGCCAGGGATCAAGCCTGCAACCAAGGTATGTGCCCTTGGCCGGAATCGAACCTGGGATCCTTCAGCGTGCAGGCCGACGCTCTAACCACTGAGCGAAACTGGCTAGGGCAAGAGGCTGTACTCTTTAAACCACCAAACCATACTGTGTAATTTCACATCCTAGTGAAAAATAAGAAAAATAAACAATCTGGAAAATATTGTGCTCTTACTAAATAATTACTTACCTGTAGCATCTGATTTTCTAACCTGCCTGTGAGCATGATTCTACTGAAGATATGTTCTCTGGGGAGTTTAATGCTTCCCAGAATATAAAGTAGTTTAGGACCAACATAAAATCTGCAGCAAATCAATTAAACTGTAATTGTTTACCCAGGTTTCTCTTATTTGACATTGAAGTTATCCTTGTATGACCTCAGTTAAGTAAAACATGTGCCACTCATTTTGAGAAGTTCCAATGAATTGTCTATACTACTTAAAGTTATGTTAACAACGTGAAGATTCGGAGGCTGGGTATGAATTAGTATCAGTTTGTTTTAGCCTTGCAAATAAATTATAGACCCACCAAAATGAAAATAAACCTCACACGATAGAGTGCATGTTGGTAAGAGCAATTCTTCCTTCCCTTTCTGGCCTGGAAAGGACCTAGTATTGCCCTGAGAATGAGGTTCTGAGTTGAGCAAAAGTCCTTAGTTGGGGTTAATTCTTAGTCTGCCTGTATACCCGCAGGTCAGAGGACCCCTGGACAACATGATACTACGTCTGGCTTGTGGGTCTTGGGTCTGAGCCTTTCTATAATCCTATCCCCACCTACCTACACTGTCCTATAGAGAATGGAGGGCCCAGGTCAGGCCTCGTGGGAGTTCTAAGGAACAGAGCAGGCAGGTATTCCTCCATAAAAGCACTCCATTCCCTCAGCCAACCAGAGGAACTTCTCCTGAGAGACGGGACAATTTCACATGTAGTTTCCTTTTAAGTACCTAGTATTGCGTTGTATCTTTACTCATTTCTTCCCTCCTGGCAGTGACTTTTAATTCTAATTAAAAGTCTGACATTTACCAAAAGCAACAAGCAAAATGTTCCTTATTTAAACTTGTGAGCCCATATGTCACCAAGGTCTCAGGGGACTGAGGAATAAGAAAACAGAGGGCCTTCGTTATTCCACCGTTGTTCCCCTACTGCACGGTGACTACAGTCCAGCGAATATTCTTAAGGAAGCGAGCAGGAGCCGAGAGGCGCCTCCTGGGGGCCTACAGTCCCCCGGACTCGCTCACCGTGGTGAATCTGGCGGGATGCCCTTAGTAGATGCTGTCACATTACTTTGCTTTCTGAAAGAACATCTGTGAAGAGTGGTTCCTGGTGTCCCTGACTAACCTTTTTCTAACAATTCAGCCAGTGTGTTTTCCCCAAGAGTATAAAACACTGGTTTGGAAAATCTAGCGAATTCTCAGTCTCTGTGAATGTGAAAATAAACAAACCCAGCGCCCAGTCTGTGACATTTTCTCCCATTCGGATGGGGCAGGGGCAAGCCTCCCATCCCTTCCATTCCCTGAACCTGAATTTTGATACTTTTACTGCAGATTTATCCAAATGTATAATAACAGGAGGCAAGGGAAACTATGAATTTATTTTCTTAAAATTTGCATGTATCATAAAAGTAGACTACAGCAGGCATAGGAAAAAATAAAACTCTAGTTGAGTGAAAGCTTATTATAGATATGGGAGGTAATGGGTTCCAGGGATTACAGACTAGGCTCATGTTTACCTTCCTTCATCTGTAAGAAAATACAACAGGAAACAGAGTGGAAGAGGGTGAGAAGGTGAGGTTATTTGTGTGGGAAAGATTAGCATCAATTTATTCATCTCCTAATCTCCCCATTGCCACTCCTTTTACGGAGGAATTAATCTGTAAATACAAGGATAGACTAGTCTGAACCTGGGTGCAGAAGAACAAAAGCAGGATAGAACACTAACCTAAGGAGGCAGCCATCAGACCGTCACATAAACAGCCTTCTCCTCACACCTACATAATAATTTTAGTCATAATCTGCTTTAGACACATGAAATGCAAAATACATATTAGTTACAACATACTAATGCTTTCCTCTATTTAAAGATGTTTCTGAACTTAAATTTTATAGCTATTTTCAGGCATATCTGTAATTGTGCGCTGACATGTAGGACCCAAGAGATTCAATGCAGATTAGAATTTAAGACATTTCAGAAGTTTCTTATCACACTGTGAAAAAAGGCACAGTTTGGAATCGAACACAACCTCAGTAGGTGACACTTGTGGCTCATTTTAGGCAGAAAAAAAAAATTTTTCAGCAGATATTTACTTAACAACCTGTTGTGCTGCTTAGCCCAGGACAGTGGGTCCTTAGACTAACATCGTTTATATACTTTATTCAATCATTAATTTAATTTGTTCTTGAATTCTGAAGCCCAGCTATGTATCTGTGAAGTGACTATATTTGCTTAACTATAAACTGACAAAAATCAATCTATGTTACGATCCTAAAACACTTGGCCTATTACCTATAATATGAGCTGCAACACCCTAGTTCAATGACTGGGACCACTTATTTCTCCGCCAGCAATTTCCTGTTTCCAGTCTAAGACAGGGACACCAAGACACCTCTTTAGTTTTTGGTCCTTTACTAGGTTCTTCTTGAAACAAGTATCATACTTATTTTATGGGTTAAGGTGATATTATTGACGTTTAGGCTTGCTCTCAGGTATGATATAGTAAAATGAATGTAAGACCTGGATTAAACATCCTATTATCAGATCACAAAGCCCAGTCTTTGGGAGCCAACACACACACACACACACACACACACACACACACACACACACACACACACACGTATACACATCCCAAAGGACTATGATGTCAGAAGAGCAAGGATTTTGAACTCAAAGGTGATGTACGTCTGTCTGGCTTCTTTTTTTAAAGGCTGATACATTCCTTCCTTCCTGGGAATTAAGACTCTAAATAATGCCTCTCAGACTCAGCTTGACCTCTGACTAATGGTAAAGAATCCTGCATGTTCTCTTGTCACACGAACCCCTAGAAACTATGAAGATGGCACAAAACTTCACTTTGGGGGTCCTCCCATATCAGCTCTGAGCCCAGGCCCGTGCAGAATCTCCACAGGGTACCTGCCCAGCCAGCATCATCTTGAGAACATTCTTCTGTGCTGCACAGAACCATTCACCTTGGTCTATAAAGATCTTACCCCAAGGCTCATTCTGGACTGGCCCCAACTTCAGCTGTCAGAAAATGAAGTAAAAACGCCCCAGTGCTATGCGTACAAAGCAGCTATGCACAGTGCTGTTCCTGTGAGTCCTGAACTGTAACTGAGTGGGGGTGTCAAAATGAGGCGCTGGATTTTCATTAAGTTGCACCAACAAAAACCTAAAGTGTCAGCAGCCAATGCTAAGTCAGTTCTACATGCAATGATTTTAAATAAAATAAAACAGGCGGCTGTTTACCCACCACTTTCTGAATACAGCACAAAAGATTCCGTGTAATCCCGACCGCTCTTGACGTCGTTCGTGTCCACCCTCTGCCTTGCTCAGACTGTAGCTCCCCCTTCGGAACGCCCTTCCTTCATCCCCCCTCTTCCCACTCTGGTCCTGTAAGGTGACACACACCTGAAGGCCAGGCCGAAACACTCACACAGCAGGAGGGGCCTTGAAAAAAGCAGCTGGACAGGCTCGAGTTTGGCCAGGAACCTGAACTTGAGTCTCCCCCACCCCCACCCCCAGGTACAGAATCACACGTGAAAACCACCCACACATGAACAAAAGTCTTACAGTGACAGACTCTCCTTTGCAGAGAGAAAAGCTAACAGGCGTTATTTCTTAGCCGTGCCACAGTGTGTGTGAATGCTGCACAGCAAAGCTCACATTTTCAGAAGGGCAGCGGTCTTTTTTTGAATAAATTTCCTATATACCAGGTTCCATACTAGACTGTGCAAATGCAAAGATGATGCCTGACTGAGAAAACCATCCAGGCCAAAGCGGGACACAGACTCCAACAGGTAACTGGGGGGCCCCTGGCCCAGGGCCGTGGGATGGAGAAGGCAGCAGGGTGGACAGGCTTCCTAGAGAGGCCTGAGGAGCTCACCGGGGCCG